AAGCCCATGTGTTAGCTTACTACTGATATCTGGATTAAGGAATGAAACAAAGTTAATCAAGGCTTTGAATATCAGAGCAAACTAAACCCCTCAAGGCAGTGAAGAGAAGAGGGTCTCCCTTGCAAACCTGACTCTGTGCCCTACAAAAAAGGCTTGGTTTTGCTTTAGATTTCTCTTCCCATTTCTGAAAGTGCATGATGTTCCTGAAAAGTAGCCCCATCTGAAATACAGGGTGGTGTCTCATTAATTCGGATTATACTGTAAAAAGGAAAACCTGGTCCTTTTCTACTCCTGGCTGACATGGTATATTTTAATGTTCTTATCAAGCAAATAATTACTGAATTATTTTTTTCCTCCAAAACATTTCTTCAAAATTTTGCAGTCTGCAGAAGTTATTGTCTCTTGAAAGGATTGAGGAAATGTTTCAGAATGTAGCCTTGTCCTGAATGATGGCTTCCAAATTAAGTTTTATGCCAGAAAGAAAATAACTTTATTTCAGTTTCCTTGCTGTGTTTGGAGAGAGACAAGTCATAGTCACAGAAGAGAGAGCCTTGAATTGAGGGTCCATGAAATCCATGGAGGAACACAGGCTGTGGCTACCGGAGCGGGAGCGGATGGGTGCAGGTCAGCTCCCTGCCAGAGGTCGGAGTGACTTCAGGGCAGAGCATCCACGAGCCCTCCACAGAGGCAAGGTGCTCTTCCAGCACGGCTTCAGACCAGCCAGGTCAGACTCAGGTCTGCCCGCATAGATAACTGCAGCTGTAATTGTAGATGCTTACCTTCAAGGTCACGCTTCTCAAAACTCACTGTACTATTGACATCCAACCCTGGAGACATGTACAACCCGTAGCTGCCTGTCTGTCCTGTCTCCTTCTGGGTGAGAATGTACAGCTCATAAAGTAGGTGTTCTTCACCCAGTCTTGCCCAGGAGCCTCACTTGGTTGGTGTTCTCACAGCACGTGTGACAGGCTCCATGCAAAATTGAGTTTTCGTGAAAAGGTGGTCAAAAGAACCTTAGGTGGCATCCTGCGTGACCAAATTACTCAGAGGACTTCTCAGGAAAAAGAGATTTTTCTCAGAAACAAGATGCTTCAGTGTATCATCGTACTAGATTTTTTTTCTGGACCACTCTGTGCTGTGCCAGTTTATCTCCAGTGGATGAAGTGTGAAATGCAAACATTTACGTGCTATGGGATGAAAATGTTGATGCAATAACTACCAGTTCAGCAGTCACGTACTGGCTTTCCGGAAAACTATGTCAAGTTTCTGTGCAAGGAGACTCTTAGTCACAAAAGCAGTGATGCAGAAAAGCTCTGCGCACGTGTACGAGCTCCCAAATGCATATGGCACAGGTTTTTGGCAGGTGTGTGGGCGGTTGTTGCAGAACACCGAGTATGGTGTAAATTCACTTCAACTAATTTCTCAATAGTTTCTCTAGGCGAGCATGACTGTGGCGGCTTTCGTTATCTATCCGGGCTTTTCCATGCAACTCTGAAATTTGTTTGTTGACCTTTGAGGCTCTTTAACGTAATGTAGTATCGATAGGCATTACAGAACGCTCTGGGTGGGATCTGATGCTAAATAAATTCAGACATTCTATACTATGCACACCGTTAATATGGAGGACAATTATCTTAGAGTTCCCAAATTTAGTTCATCCAAGTAACAACAGTGGTTTGGTGGATACTGGCACCTGCAGTGTGTGTTAACGGTGAAAGTCATGGTTGCTGACTCGGTGTGTACAAGTAGAGACAGCCTGTATTTGTTCGCTCCAATATGTCCTGGCTCTGTGTTCTCCAGCTCCTTGTAGACTGGAATCTAAACCCACATTTGTATCTGCTTCTCTTCAGGCAGCTGCTACAAGTCTGCATATAACACAGGTTAGTTGAATATAACAAAGGTTTATTTGTGTTTTCAGCCAGCTGTGGAGTAACTTGAAATGTTTTGCATGTGTATGAAAAGAATGTATGTGCAGAAATTTGCAACAACTATTTAATATTTTATTACCATCACGTCAAGTGCTAAGCACGATTTACGTGAGACTCTATATGTATTCTACGCTGTGATGAACACATCATTTGTGTGGACACTCGTAACTTTTATTTAGAGCAAGATAAAGGATTACAAAATGCAATGTGACAGCACAGTAGAAATTATTGCTCCCTTTTTTTTGTTGCTGCCTTGTGGTGTATACCAATAGTCGCATTTCTCTTTCACCTAGGGTGGTTCAACCATTGCCACATCTCAGGAACTTTTAAACGGTTGGTTTGGGCTTGACTGATTAATTTGCAAGATGCTACATGATTTCAAGAATTAGAATTGCATCATTTAGAGTTCCGTGTCAGCTAGAAAAGACTGCCCGCTCCACGCAGGGCTGAGGGCAAGGCAGGTGTCTGCTATGTGAGGTTTCAGCTGTCTCTATCCAGCTGGTTTTGGGCTGCTGGTAATTCACTGGGTAACACAAGGAAGAGAAAACTGAAGCCTTCGCATTAGCCACTGTGTTTGCACTCTGAGACTTGCGCAGAGTTTGCTAAGAAAAATCACTGTAAGCAGAGAGGTTTCATCATCACTTATAGCACAAATATCCCACAAACTCCATTCCAGAGTCTGCTCAGCACAAACTCTCCAAAACAAAGTTATTTTGCAGAAACTGAATGGTACCTTTCTCCTGATGTGGAGGCCTATCAGATCATCTCTGCTTTGATCAGCTCTTGCCTGGGCTTCCTTCATGCCATCTGCTTGCGCGACAGGGAACACAGCCATAATTTCACCTCACCCTGCTGACAGGTCCCTTGATCAAGAACCTAGCTTGGCTTTCTTATCTTTCTGTCCTTCCTGACATCTGCAACTTCAGCTGAATTTCTTCAGTCCTTCTCAGAACTGGGAGCTCATCACAGCAACCACTTTCCTCTGAATGGCAATACGTGAATTAACTGTGAAACGCACTGTCACAAGAGATAGCAGAACTTGTTAGGTTTCAGGCAGGGACTGGGCATCATTGTAGACAATATTTGTGGTTATAAACATAATAAATTTATAAACATAAATGAAAAGTTTGGGGTAAGGTGAAAAACTCCTGATTCAGGATTTAACTCAGTATTGCATTATAAAGGGATAGGATGGAAAGCTACTGAGGACAGACTACACCATATCTGCTTAGTGCTTGTACCTTCCTCAAAAGTACCCAAAGCTAGTAATTTTGGATTAAAAATAAAGATATACAAGATTCCTAAACCTAAATCTCAACTCAGGTAATATTTCTTCAGGAGGATGGGGCCAGACTCTTTCCAGTGGTGCCCAGCAACAGGACAAGGGGCAACGGGCACAAACTGAAGCAGAGGAAGTTCCACCTGAACATGAGGAAGAACTTCTTCACTCTGAGGGTGACGGAGCCTTGCCCAGGCTGCCCAGAGGGGCTGTGGAGTCTCTTTCTCTGGAGATATTCAAGCCCTGCCTGGACGCGGTCCCATGCAGCCTGCTCTGGGTGACCCTGCTTCAGCAGGGGTTGGACTGGGTGACCCACAGAGGTCCCTTCCAACCCCGAACATTCTATGATTCTGTGATTCATGTATGTCGGCTTAGTTTTTACTGGGTCACCTGCAAAATTGATGTGACTTCATAGGAAACGTGGCGTTGCCTTCTCTTTGCTGTTTATTGCTGCTGAGAGCTCTTGCCTCTTTACTGCGCAGCAGATCCTCCCTGAACATCAGAGATATTTAGACTAAGGCTCTACAAGACTAGTATTTAAGTAAGGTTAATTATGTAAAGAGTGCCGTTAAGTATGATTTTGGAAACTGCTAATCTACAGCCAAATTTGGTGTTAACAGCTGTTGTTGTTATTATTCTCAACCCCCAAATCTTTTAATGTCCGTTGTTGCCTTATGAATGAATTACTTAAACAATGAGATGATTGAGTGTCGGGAGTATACGCAGGAATCTCTGAAAACAATTGTACGCAAAGTATTGTCAATGTGCAAGCTACACTAACTAGAAATAAAGAATATTTTCTTAATGTGTCCCTTCTTTGCTGTGTTCTGGTGGTATTTTGATCAACAATGCTTTTAGCTAAGAAAGGCACATGAATTTAGCGTGCCAGGGCCAACATGGAAAATTTCGAAGACCAAGGACAACCTGAAGTTTTTGGTTAGTGACGAAACCGTTAAGAGATACCTTGTGGAACCGTTAAGAGATACCTTGTGGAAAGACTGCAGACCTTGGAGGATTCTGATGTTTTTACTATGCTAAATGTAGTTGGCTACAGTTGGCTCCATGCCTTGAAGGCAGGAATTACAGTTGAATGAGTGAGGTTAGCAAAAATATTTAATAGCAGCTTTTGGCTTATCACACAGGCTCCTTTTACATTTTGGCGCCGTTGTGACATTATGAAGCTCCACTGTATGGTAAATGCAGGATTTCCTGACATTAGTGACTGATTAAAGGATTACAGGACATTGACAGTGCTTCAGTTTTCTAAGAAGGTCACTGAATATTTGCTGCAGAAGAGCTGCCCACAGCCTTCCTCAGAATTCTGGCTAATCCCCATATTGACCCAGCAGTATGGAAGCAAGTTACCTTATCCAGGTGCTAATGCTCTAGGAAGGTGCTCACTTAATAGTGCTCTCAGTCATTTTGCCACCCCATTTAACTAAAGAACAGATAATCTTCCTAAGTTTTTCTATTTATGCATATTTGTATTCAGTGAAGTAGTTTACAGCTCTCATGAGTAATCAGACCTTCCAAAGGCAAGTCAGAAAGGACAAGAAGGAACACGGCTTTTATTCAAGGGCGTGTCAAAGCCTCTGGTGTGAACCTGGAAGAGGAGGGAGCTATGGCAGGGTGTGTTTGGGCACAGGGAGCCAACCAGCTGTAGAAGCACGGGGAGTGGCTTGGAGTGGGACTGTATAACGGGCAGTCTGAGATGGTTCACCCTCTGCCTGGACACAGTGCTGCAAAGCTCAGACTAGAGAATCTCAGTGCTGACTACACATCTACCAGTACAGATGGCTCCGCAGACTGGCTCCACTGAAAAGGAGACGCGTCCTGTTTCAGCTTTTCCACAGCTTTTCACTTGGGAAGAGATCAGAATCCGCAATGGCCGTGGCCAAGGTCAGGAGCGATGGCTGGTGATTGACAGAAAGGTTTACGATGTCAGCAAGTTTTCCAAACAACACCCTGGAGGCAGCCGAGTTATTAGCCACTATGCTGGGCAAGATGCTACGGTAAGATCTAGGAGGACAGTGGAGCTCCAGTGGAGAGTGTTTGTGGTAGCTGGCGCTGTGCATGATCAGATGATGCAGTGAACATGTCTAAAAATGCCCTTCTGGTTACCGTCATGGTCAGACTTACCTGCTATGCAAATTGTAAAGCTCTGTTTAAGTTCATTACGCCCTGCTGTAAGCAAAGCAATGTCCATTCAGGTTGTCTTGCCACTAGGCATGGTCAGATGCCTGCAAAGTGTTTCTGTTGTGGCAGTGAGAAAGGGAAGAAGGTAGGAAGCAGTATGCTCAGTGCCTTTTTTTACTTTAAAGGCTGCTCGTTCAGTGTCACGTGGATGTGATCAGTGATATGCAACTGATAATCAAAGGTAGAGCAGAGGCAGAAAAATAGATAAGATATATAAGGAGAAGGTAATATCCAAACATAAAGTAATTTTGCGGGCAGTGAAGCAAGAGAAGAGGGTACTCAAGGAAGTGACACTTTTGTACAGGCAAGTGGAGGAGAAGAGAGTCTTGAGCAAAAAGGCTATTTCGAAGGAGGGGGGGAACGAAATAAAATACATGAAAAATGACAGAGAAAGCAGCAGAATGACATTTGGCTTCAGAAGATGAGGAAAAATTCTACAAATAATCACTATTTGAAAATAGATTTTCCAGAGATTCTTGCAAAATTCTTTGAGTTAGAGGATTTCTCTAAAACAACTTGTTGCTCGTTGACAGAGATAATAAATTCTAAGCAGATCTGACGGACTATTTGCTGAAAGTAGGTACTGAATTTCTGAATAGTCAGAAATATGCGCACTAGAAACGTGACCAGGATTAGGGCATAAACTTGTGATGTGGGAGACCCAGATTTCATTCTTGTCATGACAAGACTTTTTGACTTCAAGGAGGTTGCCTAACCTGTCTAACTCCTTGGGTTTCGGTTTGTGAAATGGGATGGAGCTTCCCAACTCATAGCCCCATACGGATCCGATCAGTTATTTTGCATGTTTCATTCCTTTCACTGAACTGGAAGCTGAGGCAGAAAAATACTTTGTGGTCTCAAATGAAGAAGAAGAAGGTTTCTGTGTCTTGCTGATTTTCTTCTCCAGCTCAGCAGATGCAACCCTGATTTCAGGAGAGGGAGGTGTATCCATGATGCAGCACCTGCACAACGTGGTGTGAGATTGCAAACAGTGCTGTGCCAAGAGCTAGCTGAAGAAGCGACATCAGTCCTGCCCACCAACCATGGCCAGCTCACTCACCAACCTGTTACCTTCCCAGTAAACCCCCTGCGTGTGCTAATTCACTGCAGTCTTCTCTAAAGAGGATTAAAGCATGCTAAAAGTCTTTTTCTTTTTTAATTAAAACTGTGGTTTTGCTTAAAGATGAAGGTGCCAATTTTAAGCCAGCACAGCCCTTTTTGCTGATGTTTTGTGCCACGCTGTAAAGAGCTTATTGCAGCAACAGAGACAAAGGCTGAGGCTGCTGTTCCTGAGAACATCAGAGCAGCCCTGCCAAGCCAGCCTAGCTTCAGTCCCTGTAGCCTGGTGTCATCTCCTGCAGTTTCTGTTAACTGGGCTTTTACAAAAGGAGTCGGGGAATGCAGAATGCGTGGAATGATTTGTCCCCAAGCTATATGCTCCCAGCTTCTGCAGCCACCAGTGGAAGAACTTGCATTTAGATTGTTCTGCTTTCCGGGCACCCAGGGAGTTTAACCGCAGTAAATTTGTCTGCTATGAATGAGTTTAAAGAATGGCCTTTGATCTTACTTCCATTTATTATTACAATAATATTACCATCTTGTTTTCTTCATTATTACTTTTGTGCATTTTAAACCTACTTCCTGATAGTTTTATTGTTGTGTTACGAAAACAGTGAACAAATTTTCCATCATTTTCTCAATGCTACTCATGAGTTTTTAAAACTGTTTAACTTATTACCTCTTTTCCAAGGCAGTCTTCTAGTATGAAAGCTATTCCAGAACTCTATTCATCTTTTTCTGTTAGATCTATGGTTGTTGTTGTTGATGGTTGTTGGACTACAACATTCTGAAGACAGAAGAACCAGAACTACATGCAGTAGTCAAGATTGTGGGTATACTGTGGATTTATGTTGCATTATAACAACATTCTGGTGCATGACTTTGCCTAAAGCCAGGGTCCAGGATTTTTTTCCAAGTACTCTTGACTACTCTAGAGCTTGTAGTTACATATATATGGTGAGAATTATCTTCCTCTAGAGGTCATAATTATATATATACTGTGAGAATCTTCTTCCTCTGCGTGGATTACTTTGTAAATTCAGACAATATGTATTGCAGAACATTACATTGATGGCAAATGTTGGAGGTTAGGTGCGTTGCATACGATAGTGATTAAAGTTAATCTCGCATAAGATGATAATCACGGTTTAAGAGCAGGGAGGATAAAGGACAGGTTGTAGAACAGAATGGCTTGTGTTTCTGTGATAAGAATCTGTGATACTGATATTATGGATAGGCAATTCTGCTTAAAAGGATTCTGGCTCCTGTTTCTAAGCTGCAGTGTAGATAATTAGAGCTTGACCCAGTTTTAGAGTTCCTGGCAAGAGGGAGCTACATAAAAATGTATAAAAACCTCTAGGATGAGGGGCACGGAATCATAATGGAAAGATTTCTCCAGTCCTGTGGGTCTGGACAGAGTTACTGATTTGTCGCTGCGACAAAGGGCCACTAGATATCTGTAGAAAGTTCATCTGTTCAAAAAGTCACCTTGCTCTGACTTCTTCTAGACTAAAGTACTGAGAGACAGACTGTCTCTGAACAGAGACTCCAGAGGAATGTCAGACTGCACAAGCGAAGTCCTCTGCCAGGGATTTCATCCTCTCCAGAAGCATGTATGGTTTTTTTGTGTGTCGTGGTCACCCACAATAATTTTCAGAGGCCAAATCAGCAAGTACCTCACTGCTCTGTCGCTGAGGATTTTGTTATATCTGCTGTTTCTGGGAGATAAAAGAGTATGGTCAGCCTCTTTGCCTTTCTTCTGGAAAATTCACCGAGGACATAAGCTACAGAAGAGTTTTGCTGTATCTGGAGTTTCCTCCTTTCTTCCATAGTTTATATTTGATTTTTTAAACTGATGTTTCAAGTTCTTGGACAGACCTGTTTGTGTCACTAGGTTACCCAGCTCCCCAAAAGTCCACCAGTCTGAAAACTCACAGGGAACTGTAAGAGATAACCAGTCAGTCCTGCTGTGTATGGAGCTTCCGCACAGATTTTCTTTGAGACTACTGTAATACAGACAGGATTTTAAAAACATCTTTTTTTCTCCTAAGCATGGCAAAGAGACACCCCGTTCATTGGCGTGTTTTCATTCTCCTGGGTCCAATCCATAGGGCAGGGCTGCTGGCTGGAGCCTTCTAGGGAAGGACTGTGCTGAAACAAGCAGATGAAAGGGCATGTTTCCCTCTGCAAGGCATTTTTCATCAAACACTTTCATGTTTATTAGCAGCCTCACCCAGGTACTTTTATGAAGTCTGGTTTCTTGAAACTCCTCCAGCTTCCTTGGGCCAAGCGCCAGCTGACGGCAAAGAACAACAGGAGCAACCGAAGGGACAAATTTCCCAAAGTCTCTGGACAAAGACAACTGGATTATGTAGCATATCAAAAAGCAGAGGCTCAGCATCTGGTGTTTAGTCATGTACCCTTTCTTACTCCATTCCTTTGTGTGTTTCTCAGGATGCCTTTGCAGCATTTCACAAGGATAAGTCTCTGGTGAAAAAATACTTGAAATCACTGCTGATTGGGGAGCTGGCACCAGATCAGCCCAGCTTTGAGTCTAATAAAAAAGTGAGTGTCCTAGAATCCAGCTGTGGGAATGGCTTGGGGTTCAGTATGGGAGGAGAAGGAAAATAAGAGAGCAAGCAGAAATAATTTCTGCAGCAGCATGCCTGACACTGTGCCATAGGCTGGGTGGTGGGGAGGTAGCTGGCAGTCGTCGTACATGGAAACACGCACTGTCCCGTAATTGCTAAATCCACACCTGGGTGTGAGGAATGAGCCCCAGAGCCCCAGATTCTGCTCAGATCTTCCCACTGTGATGTCTCAGTTAACAGAGCCTGCCACGAACTCATTTCCCAGTGTCAAAGCAAAACCAGGATCTGTTGATCTCATGCCCATTTTTGCACAGAGACCCCTCTGACAGAATATCTCCTCCGACTTCCATGGCTACGTTGGGATTTCTGGCTCTGCTATGTTACATTTTCAAAGCAGACAGTGCATTAACACTCACTTTACCCACAGAAATCACTTTTAGAGGATTTTCGTGAGCTGCGCTGCACCATTGAGAAGATGGGACTTCTGAGGCCAAATTACACCTTTTTCTTCCTGATTTTCCTTCACCTCCTGGTACTGGATGCTGCATCCTGGCTCGTGGTCTGGTACTTCGGGATATCCTTGGTGCCTTTTGTGGCTGGCATGGCGTTCTTCACCGTTGCTCAGGTAAACTGCTGACAGCTGTTCAACACTGCAGACGTGTTTGGTTCATCCAGATGGAGAGGATTAATGAATTGTTCATATCCCAGCCATTGCTTTTCTGCCTCTTCTTAGGTCCTTTTATCTGGCTGAAGACAACAAGCACGTTATACATCACAATATTTGTTGCCTCCAGCAAATCTTGTTTTGCTGACAAGCTGCCCGCTATGGTTGGTGGGGTGTTGTGGGGTTAGCAGTTTCACAAGATGGGATAAGCTGATCTGATCACTTACCCCAGCAAAAGAGGGAATATTTCATTCTCAGCTCCAGTTTTGCCTCCTTGTTCCTTCTGTTTACTGTCTGATGGCTCTGGTGTTTGCTGGGTCCTTTATGAGCCAATTACACTCACTAGCCCTGAACAGTTTTCTGCTGGATTAGTAAACTGAATCATAGAAGGGCACAAGACGTGTCAAGGTTGGTGTAGAGAAGGAGGGAATAGGACTTTGTGGCCCTTAGATGGGAGAAATTGAAGGGTGAGAAGAGGAAGAAAGCATGATTTTCTTAGCAGTGCAGAAACCTTAGGTTTGCTCAGACATCCATGGAACAAGTGCAAAGTAACTAATTTTTTTAAATAATCTGTTCTATTTGCCTAATATCTACTAAGGCAGATCTTCCTCAAAGAGCGTTCGTGTGTTTCCATGGGACTATGAAATGCAATAAAGCTATGGTAGATTTAGATTAGATATAAAAAAGAAATTCTTTACTCTGGGGGTTGTGAAGCACAGATTGCCCAGAGATGTTGTGGCTGCCCCCTCCCTGGAAGTGTTCAAGGCCAGGTTGGATGGGGCTCAGCGCAACCTGGTCCAGTGGAAGATGTCCCTGCCCATGGCAGGGGGGTTGGAATGAGATGATCTGTCCCTTCCAACCCAAACCTCTATGATTCTATGATTCTATGATTCTATGGATTTGTAAATTCTTACACTTTCTGTCTGGTTACTTGGAAATGATATATATGTGACAAGAGCAAGCGACTTCCATGCTGTAATAGTCAAATTAATTGTGATGATGCTTTGCTGATTTCTCTTTAGCTGCTACAATAAAATCAGTACCTGGCATTGAGCAGCTTTAGTGGACAGTAGGCTGCAAGGAAGCTCCCAGCATGGAGCATGTAGGACAGCAGGTAGTGTGTCTTCCCCAAACCAGAAGGAAGATGCACTCGCACCATGAAGTTACAGAGACTCCCGAGGCAAATTAATGCAGCATCACTGTGATTCTGTTTCCTCAGTGATCCTTTTGTCTTCCAGATCCAGATGGCCTGGTTCCAACATGATCTGGGGCACTGCTCTGTCTTCAGGAAGCCTAAATGGAATCGACTTATGCATCTTGTTGTGATAAATGTTCTGAAGGTAATTGCCTCATGGTGGGAATATTCTCTGGTGCTGATCTGGCTTAAGCAATGAATGGGAGTGTCCCTACATTTGGGCAATATTGCCTGTGAGGGAAGTATAGTGCAGCCGTCAATAATAGGTGGATAAATAGTGATGTAATCGTTGATGTTGTTTGAGTTTGAATCCCTGGCCTTTAATTTTTCCTGCAGGGGTTATCAGCCAGCTGGTGGAATCACCTGCACAACCAGCATCACGCCAAACCCAACTGCTTCCGCAAAGACCCTGACCTCAACATGCACCCTCTCCTGTTCAGCTTGGGAAAGACACTCTCCGTGGAGGTGAGCATGGGGATGGCTGGAGAAGCAAAGAGTTTAAAGACAGAAAGCTGGAGAGTGAGGTATAATAATTAGCCAGATTGTGCCTTTCTGCATAAACTCATGAGAATTTCCACAGTGTTCCAAGGTCTGAGAGTCTCGTATACTGACTGGTTATTATGCTGCTTAGGTACCACAGTCTTAAAATCAGTGCTGAAGTTCTCTGTGTTGCTGAAAGAGTAGGGTAAGCACCTTGAAGGCAGTCCAAAGAATAAGTCCACTTGCATTAGTGTTAGATATTGTTAGTGATCCTGTAGATAGTGAGTCAGATGCTCCCTCTGGGTCCTTCTGGCTGTGGGAGCTATTTGGCACCTAAATCCTTCAGAAGCAGTATAGCTGCTATACACAGAACACAAGAGCAGCAAATTATTTCTTACTCATTAATTTTACAGCTTTCATAAAAACAAAAACCATGCACAGACCCCTCCCTGCATCCATATGATTTCTGATATCATCAGAACATGCAAGGTCTCTTTCACCTTTTCTTTCCCTGGTAATGCTGTTTATTCATGCAGTGATGAAATGGCCTCTTTGGTAGATGACCAGCCTCTTAAAGTAACCTCTCACTCTCCCTTAGCTGGTGATAAACAAAGAAATTCCAGTTTTCCAAGGCATGTGGAAAACTCTGTCTCAGAAAAGAGAGTTTGGCCAAAATACTTATGGAAAGCTGTTAGGTGCAACTGGGAAGGACTTTGTCAGGGATCTTCTGAAAGATCTCTCATGGCTATGTATTAGCATGAGCACCTAGAGTGGGCTGGCTGTGCTAGATTTGGTTTGATGGAAGTGAAAATGTAGGAAAGTAGTTCTCGTGTCTTTCCGCTTTTTAGTAGAAAAGAGGCAGGCGTACTGTGGAAGAGCAGAATGGATTTCGGTGGTTTCATTTAGTCCAGTTCGTTTGTTTTGTTTCAGTTTTGATCCAGTGAAGACATCTTTGAAGTGTTCAAGGGTTTTTTTGCTCATTAATAGGGGAGCTCTGGAAATAGTTTCCTTTGTCTCCTTATTATTTGTTCTTTGAAGAATCATAAGCACAACATTTGCAGGTGATGTTAAGAATCCCTTTGTGCAAATAGTGGAAAAATACACTGTGAGAAAATAAACTTACGTGTTCTTTTTGTAAATATTTCATCTCTTTGCTGTTTCATGTACTTGAAGGCAAAATATTCGACAAAACAAAAAGGCAAATGTCTTTATAGAGTATTTACTGCTTTGATCTTGCAGTCATCTTAGAATAGCATCCAAATGCTCGCATTGGTTCTGACCACTATCTCCTCTATTACTCAAAAATTTGTGGTGTCTGCATCCTAACTCATCTGAAACAGGAATTCAGATGTAGCTTTCACAGCAAGCACATCCTGCATTCGTTACCCATCGAGTGTCTTGTCTTAGTTTTCATGTTAATAATCTGTTCCTCCCTGAGCATCTATAGCTTCAGCACTCTGGTGAATACGTGGAATTGGTTAGGCTGGACTTTCATTACAAAATTCAAATGACTTGTGAGCATTTTGGTGATTGATGAGCATTTCTGTATCCTGCCATGAGTTTTGGAACTCTCCTAAGAAAATCACTCTTTTCTGACATTGGTATAACACTGATATCTGGAGGGAGAGGCTCAGATGAAATCTGCTTCTCTCCATTGCTTTGGAACTTCAGTACCTGCTTTTCAAGAAGAGGCGTTGGATTAGAGAGATTAAGAGGTAGCTCTCGACGTGTTCATTAGCCAAGAGTAAGAAGTACCTGATGAAGGGTCTCAGGTCTCCAACCGACCCATTACAATATCTTTTCATTTTTCAGCTTGGAAAAAAGAAGAAGAAGTTCATGCCTTACAACTATCAGCATAAGTATTTCATCTGTGAGTATCCCCAAGTCTTTGCGCAGTGCTGTAGGAGCTTCACCTGAAAATCATGACTGCATCTTGACCCCAAAATAAATTTTTTAAAGATACTTCCATTGAAGTCACAGCTTCAGGAAGGTTCCTTCATATTAAAGAAGGTTCACATGAGGAGGATTTTCCCCTCACATCTCTGTTAGGATTACGTGATGTTAAGTACTAGATAGGGGTGAATCAAGGGTGAGGAAGAAAGGGATGGGAAAGAAATGTAGAAGTGGTGAGATGAAAAGAGGAAGAGATTATGTGGACACATGAAAGTTAGCATGACCAGAAGACAGCAATTTTTCTTCCACTGGAAAGAAGAAACTTTCTTCTTACAGAAGAATATTCTGTAAGATTCATGATGCAGTGAAATGACAAATGTCTCTCTGTTTTCTTTCTTTCCTTCAGTGTTGGCCCCACTAGCTCTCGTACCCTTCTTCCAGCTGTCTATATTCTACTTTACAATCAAGAGGAAGAAGTGGTTGGTAAGCGCTACTTGCATTGTCTTGAAGACTTTCAAAAAATGCCGCCACTCCGTGGCTATATTAACCTTCATCTCAGGTGGCTGTGGGGCTTAAGGTAGAAAAAGCTGGTTCTAGGCTTGCTGCAGCAGGCATGCAGTCAAAGGGTCCAGGGAGAATTTCTTTACGAGAGCCTTTTTTAGCCTCTTAGCAGCTGAATAAAAGTTAACAGAGAACTGTCAGACCTAGACAGAGCGTGATTACAGGGCGAGTCTTCAGTTACTGGTAGGAAAGTGAGTGCTATGGGAATATTTCAGGGATACACTCAGCTTGAGGCAGAATGATGGTGTGGAGCTTACTCTCGATAAGTAACAGATCACAGAAAGAACATTTTTTTGTGCTGCAGTTCAAATAAAGAGGGGAGGAGGAAGTGGAGAGAGTTCATCAACAAAGGCTTATTTACGGTTTTTTTGTTGTTGTTTTATTTTGTTATTCTTACAGGACCTGTTACTGTTTGTGTCTTTCAACATCCGAGTCTGTCTCATGTATATTCCTTTAATGGGATTCAACAATTTCATGGTGTACTACTGGCTGTCCAGGTAACACACAGCATACTCAGAGTCCCTATGACTAATATTCGTAACCAATAGTGAGCTTCAATGGAAATAAGTGAAAACTAGTCATACTCGCTACAAGTTTTTCAGAACTAAATAGTCAGCCAAGAAGAAGCAGTGTGACTTTAAGGGGTAGTGGTGGCGGCTCAGGGACATCTGCAACTACAAACTGAGTGGTTCTCCAAAGAAACTCCAAAAGTTAGGATGCAAAGGGGTGGAATAGAAAATCCTGAATGACATAAAAATGTTCTTTTACTTAAGATGAGACTCAGGAAAGTGTTTTCATGTTAAATTTGGATGGGATTAGAGGCATGAAGAGTTTCTGTGTTTATCTGCCCAGGTACATAGAGAGTACCTGGTTTATCTGGGTGTCGCAGATGAATCACATTCCCATGGACATTGATTACGATAAGAATGAAGACTGGGTATCTACTCAGGTGAGAATCTCCTTTCTTCTGGAAGAGTGGGTCTGCAGTCCTGAGTTACAGGACAAAGACAATGTTGTTGTTCTTTTAGCTTTAAGGCTGTGTTAATGAGATTTGTCCTTGCTGTTTATTAAATAGGCATGCATTCCTGTAGTAGTCCAAACATTTTAAACTTTAGTTGGAAAACGGGACGTCTAGATTAAAAAAAAAAATCCTATTTTTTCACTGAAAGGTTTTGAAATATTTTTCACAACACTTTTTCTTTCCTATTATGAAAAAGCACTGATGGTATAACAGTCCTTCTCCTTTTTAGGCCAACTAAAGAGAAACAAAGTGGGACAAGATACCGTCATTTTTTACCTTACAGGTTACAGGTTTACTATAGATAAGATAAATCTGACAAAATTTAGGTCTGATGAAAATGAATATGTAAGGACAACTTTACTCATACCTATGCTGCCTCCAACAGTACAATCCCACATAGTTCTAAGCATTTTTCTTTATATTAAGGGAAAAAGACCCAGCCTGGTATTCATCTGACCAAATCCAGGTGTCTACATCTGAACACCTGCTACATTCATTGGAGAGAAAGAGCCGTTGCTAGAGCATGATTCATCTTATTCTAAAAAATAGATGTCTAAATAACGTCTCATACGTTTGCACCTGACTGCGCTTGTACTAGTTGGAAGAGGCCAGAAAAATTTTTATTTTTTTTTTATTGGGCATCTTTTCTTTCCATCTAAGTGAAATATGTGAGGAGAACCTCTTAAAAGAATCACAGCTGGGGTCGTGCGCATGCCAGTGAAGAAGTTGTTCTTTCTGAGCAAAGAGCCAGCTAAATTAACCTATATCCCGACAACCCATTTCAATCTAGACTTTGTTTAATTCTTTGGGGCAATGATGGCTATGAGCACTGACTCTAACTTGCCTTTTGTGCTAGATGAGGGTGGGTAATGATTGCTGGGGCTCAGTTATCAGACTTGCAGAAAAGTAAAAGCTAAATAATGTATTTCTTTGGTCTTTTTTCCTCCCAGCTCCATGCAACATGCAATGTGAAACAATCTTTCTTCAATGACTGGTTCACTGGGCACTTGAACTTCCAAATAGAGCACCAGTGAGTATGATTATGGGGAGAAGAGTGGCAATAATATGGGTCACTTAAAAGTCAGAAAGGCCATATAGTCTCACATGAAATCATGTGAGGAGACCCTTTGCTCTCCTTCTGGGGGAGGGCAGGGAAATATTTGAACGGAGGGAACGGAGGGTGATGCAAGCAAATTCTTACAATAGCTATCTCTCATTCGATTCTGCAGCCTTTTCCCCACAATGCCTCGACACAACTACTGGAAAGCAGCTCCTCTGGTGAAAGCCCTTTGTGATAAGCATGGCATTGAGTATAAAAGCAAGACTTTACTGACAGCCTTTGAAGATATTTTGCAGTAAGTATCAATTAACAAGATAGTTTTGCACTGTGGATTTAAGCAACCTGGTCTAGTGGAAGGTGTCCCTGCCCATTGCAAGGGGGTTGGAACTAGATGCTCTTTAAGGTCCCTTCCAACCCAAACCTTTCTATGATTCTATGACATAGGCAACCATTTCAAATCAATTTCAATGGAGAGATCAAATCTAGAGTTTATTTAGATTTTTCTAAAGCCACTTTAGTTTAAAAAAATTTTCAAAGTTTCAATGACTTTTTTTCTCTTCCTTAAATCCTTGCAATTCATTCCCTGTAGTCAGACTTTGCTATGAGATGCCCATGCAGTTTTTAATCCATTTTTTCCATTTACATCTCTTTACATCTAAAGTACAGTTTGCTTCCCATGAAGTTGAATAGTGTCTCCCCATAAGTGACATTTTGCTTTCCGTTCTTGCAGTTCGCTGAAGGATTCTGGGGAGCACTGGCTTGAAGCATATCTGCATGGATAGAAACTGGCAACTCTCAAAGGGAAGCTCTTCACCAGACAACTGCTGCAAAGGGTCAGCACAGAACAATGTGTTTGTGTCTTCTGGTATAGAAACTCAGGAGCTGGTCAAAGCTAGTTTCAGTAAGAATGGGTGGGAAAGTGGGTTAAAGATACATTTTTTTCTTGTTTCAAACCATGAACCTCTATTTTTCCTGCTCTCAGTGTTTAGAGCCATGATAAACTGAACCTTCAAACTGGGGAGAAGTAGTTCTTGAATCAGCTTGATCAGTTTACTTCATTGGAGGCACCAGCTCATTGCTTATGGAAAAAGTTTGAAAGGAAATTCTTCTTAGAGTCATAGAATTATAGAATGGTTTGGGTTGGAAGGTGCCTTTAAAGATCATCTAGTTCCACCCTCCTCCCATGGGCAGGGACACCTTCCCCTTGACCAGGTTGCTCAAAGCCCCGTCCAGCCTGACCTCAAACGCTGCCAGGGATGAGACATCCACAACTCCTCTGAGCAACCTGTTCCAGTGTCTCACCACCCTCGTAGCACAGAATTTCTTCTGTATATCTGATCAAAATCTACCCTCTTTCAGTTTAAAACCGTTGCCCCTTGTTCTATCACTACAAGCCCTCATAAAAAGTCTGTCTCCAGCTCTCTTGTAAGCCCTCTTTCAGTATTGAAAGGCCACAATAAGGTCTCCTTCTTCGTGTTTTTGACTCAGTGGATAGGTAAAAATGGGATAGGACAAAGCAAACTGCAGGGAGTCAGGACACATTAGAACAGGAGGGATCTTTACGGGATATTCTAGAATAGATAAAATAAGTATGCACAGAACAAGATGGCCTGGGTTATGTTCCCATCACTACTGGTCATATGTACAACACTTGCTCTTACTACCTGGGTGTTATAACTAGTACTGTTCGTGGATTGTGTAGGAAGGCAGATAACTAGATGCTGAGTTTTATGCCTATAATAGCTGGTTTGAATACAGTCCAAGAGTCTATATAGCATGTATTATTTATATGCATAAGTACATGTGTATATTTTAATTGAATGGTGACCGTGCTGTCTGATTAGCTTTCTGATGCAGACCGGCGTTGAATAAGACTGAGAAGCTTAGGCACTGAGGAGTAGGTCCAGACTGCAAGAGTATTTAGGGTACTCTTGCTTTTACTGAGTTTTACATACATTTTTATCTAAATGCTTACTTCCCAGTGACTCCAAACACCTGTGGGCATCTACATTGGTTGTTAGGCAGCTAAGTACATTTGTGGCTCTGTTTCTATATCCAGAAAAAAGGAATTAAATAAAACTTAATTCTGTCACCCCATGCAGGTGTCTCTGGAGCTTGCAAACTCTTCTTGTCTTTCAGTGTCCCCAAGAACCAGCTCCTTTCCTGGAACTCTGTCTTACCAGTTTTGTACCTGGTACTTAGCTCTTTGGCCCCAAGAAGGATGTATCCTCACCATGCTTATGGTCAAGGACAGCTTCTGCTAGTGGAAAATGTAGTGACCACCTGTGTAGAGGCACAGTAGCTCTCCAAGAACACTACTGGTGTCTGAGAGAGCCAATACAATGAAGAAGCTAGGATTGAGCCTGTAGCAGAATATTTTCACTGAGAGTGCTTTAAACTTTGTGGGAAAGGTAAACTGTAAATGAGGAGAGTCAAGCACTGATCAGCAGACAAAATAAATGGAGGATATATGAAAGAACATGGAGGTTTATGGGAAGAAGGGGAAAAAAAAAGCTGAGTGGTGATAACACAGCTATCTGGAAAAGTTGGAATATAGGAAAAAAGATAAATGATAAGAATATCAATAAAGCTCCTCATCATGATTTTGAGATTGAAAGTCAATACCTGTTTTAGAAAGAATGTATGACCTCTGCTTAATCTTGCTGATTTTGCAAAATGATGATGATTCAGTGACGACGTTTTCTAATATAATTTATAGTGAATATAGTCCATTATGAGACAGTCGAGCCATACTGGCAAAACCTATATTGTACTGTATATGCCTAACTGACCTAAAACCATGAAGTCAGTCTATAATGGCAAATAAGTAGACAATTCACCCATAAAAGCAAAGACCATGTGGAAGAAAAGTGGTTCTTCTCTTCTGCCATTCACATCCAGAACTTATGCCTGAGCTTTCAGTGGACAAACCACCCAAAGAAGGAAAACGTGAAAGATCTTAAAGTGAGATATCACCGTTAACAACATCACCCATCTGCCACCCACTGATGAGCAATCTACCTGTATTACAAGCTACAGACAATAACAGCCTTCTTCAAGGTAATAAATAATATTAAGCCCAACACATAAAGCAGAAGGAGTTTGGACTTTTTATTTTTGCCTTTGTTTTTGAAGAACACCTCCATTTATTCTTTTTATTTATATTTTTTTGTGTATATACTAATAATAACTCTGTACTGGTTATTTCCTAGTAATAGCTGACAGATGTCATTGAAAAGGATCCTGATTAAAAAAGTAGTTCTTCAAAAACTGCTTTGAATGTAATTGTAAAACCCCTTCTAACTAGTACCTAGTACAATTCTGTGTTCCCAAATCCCAGGCTGGTTGGAATGGTGAGATCCACAGTTACATATAACAGTAGTAACATTTTATAAGCATTTAAGTGATAGTACTGTCTTAAGGTGAGTGCAGGGATTTCACTGCACGCTCTATTTGGTAATACATGAAGACATTTTTAAATGGATGTCTTGGTGAAGGGAGTATAAATATTAAGGATCCCTACGTTTTTTCAAAGCTGTGCTGATTAGATCCTGAGTCCCACCGCAGTCCTCTAAAGACAAGACTGACACAAAATGGTTTTCTCCGGTGTCACTCTCGCAAATCAAACTGATCATTTGTTGCATTTAGTTAGCATTCTACTCCTTCGAAGGTAGTAATTTATTGAGTGTGTCTTTTTGCAACCTCATTTTAAATAAAAATTTCTGTCTCTTCAATTGGTTCAACAGGCTGCTGAATATTCATTTCTTTATCTATTTCATAAAGGTTATTAACAATTAAACTGGTTTACCTTTGTCAAACTCTAACACGGTTCACAAACTTCGAAGGGTAGGGGTAACACCTGGTGAGAAGTAAAAAAGCCACTTCATGTTGCATTCGCACTGATACTGAGGTCTCTAATAGTCTGATCTGAATGAGTAATAATTGGAAATTGGCTCATCTGTAACACCGGTATAGAAGGATAATAAAATATAAATGTAAATGTAAATATAAATATAAATAAAAGTCATAAAATACAGTGTGTCATGCAGAGTAACGCGGCATGCTTTTTATTCGGCAGCAATCCTATGCTCAGCTTCTCATAGTAATTCAATGTTTAATTCTAATTGAAATAATGGGAATTAATCTCTTTGATATTGTCCAGCTTGTATACTCAACTGTATTTGCATGCTCAAAGTTCCCTTGCCTTAATCCAGGGATTTAATGTAACTTTAAATTCATAATTAGTCAGCGGGTCAAACAAAAAGATTTGTTTCAAGGCATGACCTTTCCGAATGGTCAAAATTTCCAAGAAACCAGAGACTTTCGAGTAAAAAGTATAATCAAAAGCCTAACCTCTATTAAAATGCAATTTTGAAGAAAAATCAAATGAAAGCCAGTCTCCTGGGTCCTCCGTTTCAGTAATCTTACAGCTAAGAGTAAACATACGAATGTGCAAACAAGGTTGAAGATCTAGGTCTCATGTCTGGAAGTCTTTCTGGCTTTAAGTTATCAGAGTGAAATGCAATATTCCAGAGGAGTCTTAAAACTGATGCGCAGAAAGAACTAAACCACTTCTTTTCCTTCGCTTTCTATTCCAAACGCCAGGTCACTTCTTCGAGCCACTGTTCCTTTCATCTCTTCTTCTTCTAAGCGACGAAGCAGGGTCACCTCTCACAAAAGCTGCTTTCTCCAGTTGGTAATGGGCACTGAGTCTGTCTCCCTCCCTCCATCATCAGACACTTTTCATACTTGGTAACGTTTAGGCTTTTTTAATAAGGAATGTAGACAATCTTTCATAGTAAAATGAGGAAGAATGTAATAAATATGTTACTTCTTACTTTCTTGTTCTTGTGTTACACAACTCTAGTATTTTCCTTTTACTTCTCAGGTTTTCACTCACTCTGCTCTTCGATAATTTTTATCATTGCCTCCTTTAACTTTTTTCCAAATGGGCTCCATCAACCTCTTTCCCACCTTCAACTCGGGAATATTTCCTGTCTCCTCACGATTAGACAGACTCCAGGCTTGCTACCCTGTCAGTTCTTGAACAGGTTTGAAGGATGCTGACTTGGTGGCTGTTTGTATGGATAATTAATGCCAATGCAGCTGCAGCAAATATAATTACACAGACCGAGAAGGATTATGAAGCTTTGGGGATAAGGATAAGCTTGGCTTAAGAAATCTTATTTCATGATGAAGGGACACATATATGACTACATTCCCTCTCCTAAATGTGTATCTTTGCTTTTGTTCTTTGCCCAGGCTTTAGATTTAGGGAGGCAGCTGGATAACATGGTTTGGGTGGAATCTGACTGAAAGAATTTAGAAATGGAAGGAACAACTCCCTTTTCGACTGTTGTCTTGCTCTGTGTGGCAGGACCTCAGCTCAGCACCTGCCCTCTCTCCTCCTGCTAAAGAATAAAATGATTCCCATAAAAGACTCATGCACTGGTTCCTTTGACCACTCATGCCTGCAAAAAATTGCTGGAGTTCTTCAGTGTTATTGCATAAACTCTTCAATAATTGATAGCGGCCAGCTTGTTTGCCACCTGACCTGAAGGAAAATACAATGTGTATAAACATATAATGTATATCCATTAAGAGACAGCCAACCAGAAATAGAGACAGTATCTACAATGATGTCTGAAGACACAGGTGACTATATTCCAACCTACCACCTAAAATGCCTTCTCTTCAGGTGTTGCCTACAGCTGGCTCAGTAGGTGTGTTCTGCTATTAGTCTAAAGCTCGATAAATGCTGAGCTGTGCTCCTGTGCGTGTA